TATATACACTGCATATACTGTATATATATAAATTTATAATTAATATAATAATAAAATAATATATAAATGTAATATATATAAATGTAAAATATAATTGTTTAAAAAAAAAGTAAATCTGTATGCCTCTTTTATGGTTGTTTATTGTCATTGTTGTCATCATTCTTTGTTAAAATCAGGTCTCTCTTGTAAATGAGTCCTCGAGGCTCAATGGGATTAACCTGTCTAAATAAAGGTTGAATGAAAAATTACAAGAATATATGGATACGGGAAACCCCTAATATTATTTTACTAATTAAAGTTTTCATTATTTGATATCCAAAACTATATTGACAATATCCAGAATAGTATGTAAATTTTGTTTAGCTTTGTTGTCCAGTTTTGCAAATGAGGCCTTGTGGATTATTTTGATCCAAGCATAGCAGGGGGTTAAACAAAAAGTACAAGTAACTACATCCAGGATGTATGGAAGAATTAAATTTAGATTTTGAAAAATGTAGTTGTGAATCAATTGGATCTTAAAGTTCAATCCACATGAATGGGAAAAGTGATGTCATTTGCTCCAGGAAAATATTTTGGATCTCTGTAATGTTTACTGGAAAAAATTTAATTACTGATTTTGCTTTGAAGATCCTGTCCAACCGTCACATGGTAAATTGATCTGCCTGATTACACAAGCTTTGGTTTGGTCTTAACTTTTAGTTCAAGAAGTTATGTTTTAACATCCTATTCTGCGTATCTTTCAGATGTATTTACTGTTTTACAATGGGGACCATTGCCTCAGAATAAAATTCCATTAAAACATTATCATTAGGGCTGCATTTAATCTAACATGGCCCACTATTTACCGATATGTGCTGTTTAATTACAGACTTGAATGTTTTAACATGCCTCAGTTTGCTTAAACTCGACCGTCTGTTACCAGGTTGCACACAAGAAAAAAAGTATAAAATAAACTTTCTATCAATTTCATTAAAACATCCTTGTCAATGTAATAACAAGAAACAAAACTCTATGTTTGTGTCTATTTCAACAATTTCCTGCGGTATCATTAAAGTTCCATCTCATCTTTCCCGTACAAACTGGCCCTATTTTTGCCTTGCTTTGAGATGATTTTATTTAACTCAAGTAACACTAGTAAAATGAACTCCATCTGCAACACATCTTCCTCACTGAACACATCCATCAGATCAGATTATATCTAATATGCCACAAATGCAATTATTTTCGGATTAAACTACGGATTTGTTCACATTTTTCTAGTTCTACAGCTGGTCCTCAGCCCTCTGGTCTGACTCAGTGTTTGTTTTGATGGAAGGACCCATGTGAGTGCTGGAGAGACTCCCAGTGAGTAAGTCATGGGAAGTCTTTGTGGGTTTTTGTGGATTCACATACTCCATTACTGCTGCTATTTTCAATTCTTCGTCTAAGAAAGGCCAACCCTTCGTCTCGTAAGTGTTGCAGTGAGCTCATGCCATGTAGGCGTACTTCCCCTTTCTTATGTACCAGAAGAAGTCCCCAGTTCAACTCATTATGATTGAATTTTAGACTTTATACTGACAATATTTAGTTACTCATGTCTCCACAGAGGGTTAACGTCTGCTTGAAGCTTGGGACTTACACAAATTGAGTTAAGTAATATCCTTTTCTGAGCGATCCAGGAAGGAAGGTCAGTCAGTGGGTTTTCAGTGTTTGTAGTGAAAACCAAAATTTGTGCAGTATTAATAAGTATAGCTTTTCAAATGTCAGTCTTCCTTCCTTCTGTGTTGCAAAGTCTGATAGTGGACAAGTGTGTCACTCAGCACAGCGTGTGCACTTCATGTTACAGTCTGTGCTTCCAGTGGGTGGAGTGCCTAACAGAAATAACTGAATTTTAACTTGTATTGTGTCATTTCCTCATGCATTTTGAAACTGATGTTTTTTTTCTTTCAGGATCTGAGCTGCTTGGACAAAGTGCGGGGCCTTGTGCGTTAGAAACAATCTCAAGATGCAAGGAGCCATTGCACGTATGTGCATGGTGGTGGCCGCTGCCATATTAAACCACCCCTTGTTCTTTCCACAAGAAAACGTCACTCTGCCGGAGCAAGACGAGGAGTTGATGGCTCGCATGCGAGAGCACGAGGAGAGGCTGAAAATGGAGGAGGCCAGGCTGGAGAAAGAGCTTGCACAGATGGACTCCAAGCAGGAGAAAACCAGCTCGGATGATGCGTATACTTGGTACTTTTGGAGCGCCGTGTCCTTTGTGATATTCTTTACCATTGAGATGTGCAGGGTGGATCTCGCTGACGCTGAACTCCGACCAGTTGAGGACGAAGACATTGTATCTGAGGATGACTCTGTCCTGCCCAGGATGATGGTACTAGATAAGGATGTCTTGAGGAACTTCTGTGACAAGTGCACGTACACCTCAACCCATGAACGCAGGAGGGTGACTGAGTTTGTTGAGGGATTTGCTGATGACTTGCTAGAGTCGCTCAGGAGTGTGTGTAACAGCGAGGCGGGCACAAAAGTTGGGGATTTTTTCGGGATTGGAAGCATGTTTGAGTCTTGGAAGGTGTTCAAGCCTCTCATGTGTGACCTCATAGTGGCTCTTTCACCTGCAGATCCCCACTCCTTCCAGTACCGTCTATGGTGCAGCTCCCCCATTAACATAACTCCAGACCTGCAAGGCTGCGGCACAATAAAAGTGACCCGGTTTGGAGAGGGTGAGGAAGGCTGTCTCTGTGGCTCTGTGAACCTGGGGGAGGACCTGCTTTGTCTGTTGCACAGCAGGAACGTTGCAGTCAAAGTAAGCCATGGTCCAGATGAGCTGCTGTGCTCCAAGGGCACTCATTTTTTATCCAAAGACCAGGTCATGAGGTGGTTTCAGATCTCCGTGACCAAAGCATGGGCACGCATCTCCTACAAATATGACTTTGAGGTCACGTTTCGCAACCTGGATGCTGCGGGTGCTTTGAAAATCCGATTTCCCTCTGGGAAGGTCATCGGGCTGAACATCATCCCAGTGGTTCAACTGGGGGATACAGATGCTTACTTTGTCTTGCGCTTTCCATCAGATCACGACAGCTGCCCAGACCCGTACTGGCCTCTCTCTTTTGCAGTTTACGAGCAAAATCTGCTGAAATACTTCGCTAAACGCCTACCGAAAAGTTCCTGTCATTTACACTGCCTTCAGATTTGTACTTTCCTACACAGAAAGCAGTCAGGACTAACAGGACAGAGTGCTCTCACCAGCTACCACCTAAAAACTGCTGTGTTGCACTTGTTGCTGAGCACAAGGACCACTTCATGGCGCGCTGAGAGTTTGGCGCACAGGCTTCAGGATGTGTTCAGCTTCTTGCAGATGAGCCTGCAGGAGAAAAGACTTTACCATGCACTGATAGGAAACCGTAGAGTACCAGAGGAAGTCCAGGTTCCTGAGATGTTTCGCAAAGCAGATCCCATTAATCTGTTCAGGTCACTGGTGCTGCAAAGAGAACTTTATGCCTCTACCGTCCGGCACTTTCAAGAGATGTTGAGAAATGCACCCGTTCTTCTGGAAGAGTACACCCCTTATCTATCAAATGGAAGTTTACACCACAGTGTGGGAGCAAGTTCATGAGCGCTGGCCACTCTCAACAGTAGTTTTCTAATATTGAACAAGTGCTTTGATTTCAGATTTGTGATAACGTATTGACTTTTAGTGGTTTTGCAGTCGCTACTCTTTTTAGTATTGGAAAAAACAAGAATGTATTCTAACAAACAAAAGGGAATATATATTTTTTTCTATGTAAAACTAGGGCTGGGCGATATGGACCAAAGTTAATATCGCGATACTTTTAAGATAAATCGCAATATACGATTTATATCTCGATATATTTTTTTTTATATAAAGTAATAACAAAAATATATTTCCGAGTCAAAGCTTTGTCCCAGTTGTCACACAGGCACATTTCTTAACAAACAGTTGTAACTTTACAAAATAAATGTCTAAAAAATAAACTATTTACATATATTAAATAATAATCCTCTTCCGCTGCGCTGCCTTCACGATGCTAGTAAGCGTGTGTGAAGCAACACATGAGGGGCTGCGTGCAGTTGGCGGCACAGATGGGCAGAAAAAGAACTACATGGATTTTCAAGTCTAATAATACTTGATGATTGTGATGGAGCCATTTCGACCATCGTAAACTGAAGAACTCGCGATACATCAAGTATATTCGATATATCGTCCAGCCCTACGTAAACCGTGTTTTAAAGGTTTACCAGTCTAAACAATAATCATTACCAAACAATACAGTACAGGTTTCTTGAAACTTTTAACAATTTGGATGGCAGCTATTAATGGTTATAATGTTTATGTTAAACTTGTTTTAAGTGTTTTAAAGAGTTTATTGGGTGATGTTTGTTTATTTTTTGTTCTGCCGTCAGATTCCAACAGTTTTTTTTTTTTTAACAAACGCAACTTTCAGATTCAGACCAGAAACGTTACAGGTTTCATTTTTATTTTAAGAACGTGGCAGATTTAAGACGAGCGTTATTAAAAAAGGATTCAGATGATTAAATTATTTCAGTCCCTCCCTGACAATTCAAATTTTCCTCTTATTAAAAAAAAAGTTATAGTTAAGACCACGTTCAGTGGACAGTAAATAAAGCAGGCCTGACTCACGACTTCAGTATAAACAGACAGATAAAAGTGTTTTGTTTTTTTTAAATACGGATAAGGGTTTTGTTTTTTACAAGCCACAGTCATAGTCTGGTGTCCCATTAGTGTAACTTTTGTAGTAGGTTTTATAGGTGTCAAGGCTGGTCATGGTGTTTTTAACAGCCAAGTCCTCCGACATGCGCTCAGTCCACTTCTTCAGCTCAGGGCTGTCATCCAGGAGGCTGAAAGACAAAGGGAACTAAATTCACAGAAGACCAGCTGACAGCACATTAACATCCAATTATGCAAGGGTTTAAACCAAGAACTGTTCTTTTCTGTAATACTAAAAAAGAGGTAACAGTCAATAAAAGACTAATATCAAATGTTATTACACTGTAAGAATACTTATAGACTATAATAATGCAAACATTTTGGCATTGATTCCTTGAAGCTACAGACTAAAATTTTCAAACTGTTAACTGATTCCTATTAAGTGTCCAAAGCTCTTGCTTGTAAGTGTCTAAAACGGTATTAAGCGATTATGGTTTAATTTAATTTAATAGTGGGGAAGTGGTAGCGCAGAGGTTAGAAAGTGGGCCTGTGATCGGAAGATTGCCGGTTCACGCCCCAGTACCGACAACATCAAAAATGTGGGTGGGGCAGGTGAAGTACCCACACTTGCCCCCACCCTCGTTTGCCCCACTCTGGGCCCATGAGCAAGGCCCTTAACCCCCATCTGCTCCCTAAACAGGTCTCTCTTGAAAATGAGTTCTTGTGGCTCAATAAATATATATATAAATAATGGCTAAGTGAAGAAAATAAATAAATAAATTGCAGCAATTGTGAAAAGCTGGGTTATATATGCACCGTGTAAACAAAAGTTGAAGCTTTGAGTGCCCCAAACCCCAAAAATAAAAAGGACTAAATAGCAAAATCATTTTGCAAGCGATGCTGTGAAAGTGACCAGCGTTAAGTCTGATGTAATGTTAGTTTATGGCCCAGCAGCACAAACATCACCTGAACATATCGGACGTCATGAAGAACCGCTGATGCACTCTGTTCCTGTGATTGTCCCTGCTTTTTATTGGAAATGTTTATGTCTTTGTCATTCCTCTATGTTGTACAATTTGATGCTTAAGTGCTTTTTATTCTAATAAAACATATTTAATATAAAAAAAAAGGCTGAGTCAATTTGCAGCTCGAAGATCTCGACTCAAAAAATGGCCACATCAAGTAGTCGATCATTGTGATGGTATCACCACCCAAAAACTTCTTCTTCACAAACTCCTAAAAACGTTGGTTACGTACTGTAACCCCAGATTCTATGAGTATAGGCGCAGTCCTTTAAGGCCATTGCTAGTGGGTTTATCCCGTTGTGCGCAGCGCAGCACTGAATACTTTAGTCCACGCCCACCTACTGTGTGGACCTCACCCCCGGTCCATATAAATTACGGTGAGACCTGGTAATCGGCTCCCAAATGACTTTTTTTCTTCAGCCATTTAGGAACCAGTGAGGCCCAGAGCTTAAAGGGCTGCACCTATACTAGAATCTGGGGTTACAGTATGAACATATACTGTGATATATTCATAAATTAAACGGATTCATTCATTTTTCTGGACTGAATAATATCGTGCATTGAATTTAATAAAATGTAACGTGAGGCGTTAATTTTCTTTGACCCATCAAATGAATGTGGTCATTTATTAACAGAATCAAAGTTTAACATCAAACATTTACATTAATTTGGCAAATTGATTTCAACAACAACATAATTAATCAGCTTTACAAACAGGAAAACCATCCGGCCATGATTTTCCTTTGCTTCACAACAGACATTTCTGAAAATATCTGGAATGATTTGCTAGCAGGATAGGAGTTTTTTTTTTTTTTTTTTTTTTTTTTTTTTTTTTTTTTTT